TGGGAATAACCATAAAGAATCCATACCCTTTTTTGAGGCTTAAAAACAAGGCATTTTTTATGCGAACGCCATCTCACAGTGCTCCGCACATAGCAAGTGCCCCAAAGGGTGTTTTTGTCATGATTGCATCTTCTGATCAGCTGCTTCTGAGCCCTGGCTGCATCCCTCATCCTTATCTCTGATCTGCCCTTAACTCCCATGCACCATCTCATCCTCAGAACCTGAGTCTTGTCAGACAGATGCTCTATCTGAACATGGGACTACAGGGTCTTATGTCGTACCGAGCCCAGTGCCTGGAGCACAGCATGGCCCAACCTACGCATGTTCAAGTCCTTCCTGACGGGGCTCTTCAAGGGAAATGGTTTCCTTCTGTTCTCCCTGCCTCTCTTGTCCCTGCCTCTTCAGTTCAGGATAGAAGGGCAACTTGTTCTTTGCCCCTTTGATGGAGCTGTGATGCAAAGGCTAATGGTGCATTAAAATTATTATTTAACCCTTAAAGAACCCAAGACTCGGAGAGATTAAGCAAATGGTTCAAGCCACGTGTCTAGCTTGATCATTCACTTACCCACGCAAAAGGAAGAAATATGGAACAAAAACCAGATAAGATCTTTGCTCTCTTGGAGCTTAAAGTCTAGTACAGGAGTCATCCACTGCTTTCTACACAGGGCCAGAGAGAAAATATTCATGATTGTGTGGGCCACAGGGTCTCAGTCGCAACGACTTAATTCTGCCATTGTCGTGTCCAGGCAGCCAAAGACAAAACATACGTGAATGGCACAGCTGTGTTAAAATACATTTCTAGTTACAAAACCAGATTAGAGGCCGAGTTTGGCTTTAAGGCTTTACTTTTGCAAACCTTGGGATAGTGGGAAAGAGACTCACAATGAAATAATTGCATGGCTGAATGTAAAATTCACATTCGCAATTCAAAGAGGAGAGTTGTGACTCTGGGTACATGGAGGATGTGGGAGTCAGGGAAGGTGCTCATGACAAGTGTCATTTCAAGTGAGATCTAAGGATGAGGAGTCATTAACTAGGTGAGAGGGAGGCAGGGGAAGGAAAGCCGTGTTTTGTGCCGAGGTCCTGTAGCAAAAAGGACCATGGCTCGTTTTAGACACTCTAATAAGGCCTCGGTTGCAAGAGGGAGCCCAAGAGAGGCCAACTCATGGCATGAGCTGATGAAGATAACACGGGATAACAATGTGGTCTGAGTCTGGAGAGCTATGGATTCTACGGGATGACGTGATTAGATTCTCATGTTGAAGTCCTCGCTCTGGCTCCTGGCTAGGGATCCCACTGATGGAGACCGGAAGAGACTGGGTGGCCTCGATCACCTTGTGGCAGCCAGAGCCCCGTCCCTGGAGTCCGTGTCGACATGCAGCTCAGCACCCTTTTCCCCAACTCACCCTTTATTTTATGTTTGCTGTTCCAACAAATCTCTCTCTCTCCCCTCTTCCATGTGAAGATTCACATTGCATTATGTATTTTATGGCCACAGCTCCATCCCATTCCATTTTTCTCACCTTCCTCCTTTCCCTCCCCAGCCCGAGCCCCCACAAGTTGCCAGTTCATAAAACTTGCAAGTTAAATTTTTCAAAGACGGTTTCTGACAAAGCAGCAGGGATTCGGCTTGGTGAAGCCCTCCATAAAAAATTGAAGACACGCTATATTAACATACATTGATTTATTCATAGTGTTTCATTACAAGTAAGTGAGGATCCTGTAATACCAGGAAAGGTTAGGAGAGCAGGGGAACACGGTAGATTATATTGACAGCTCGGTGGAAATTGAGTTGCTTCTGGATTGAATTTGGAGGGCAGGAAAGGAATTGGCTAGTAAATAAGGCATGAGCTTTACCTCCCAGTGCCTGTATATCAATGCAGTTGCCACCAGCCCAGCCAGGGGGACCAGGGGGAGATTTCTAAAGGATGCATATGCATGCCTTCCCCCCCTGTGGGCTGGGGTTCCCAGCCACAGGTAGGGTTCTCTGAACCTGCTCCTCCTTCTGCCACTGGGGACACCTGGAGTCCAGCCCACACTGAACCCACACCTCCCCCAGCTGCTCACCACTCTGCAGTCACACTGGGCTTTCCTATGTTCTCACAAGCCTTTTCCCACCCAGGCCTCTGCTCAGGCAGCTCCCTCAACCCAGGACCTAGAACACTCTGTCCCCTGCTCCGAATCCCTGTCATCCTCGGGCATTAGTTCAGTTCTGCCCTGCGATACCCACTGTGTTGTCTTAGTTCGGTGTTTCTCAGGTGCAGACCCCTGAGACTAAGGTGTGAATACCAGCGATTATTGAGAAGTTTGGGAGACACTAGGGGATGGGGAAGAGAAAGGAAGGTAGCCAGTGGTGGGTATGCTTCCCAGCCAGCTCCCTGTGGAGGCCAGAGGAGCATCTCCCGTGGGGAAGTCCCCTAGGGGGCTGCAGAGGCGAGAGGGGCCTGGGAAAGGCATGACCCACCTCCCATCCTTCCAGTGGCTGTTCACTGCCAGGCACTTCCTGCCAACGCACAAAGCCCTCAAGCAAAGAGGCAGACATGTGTCGCTTGCCTGACAAGGGCTGGACCTGCCCAGGCTCTGCTTGCAAAATGCCCAAATCCTTCAACTCTGGGCATTTCTCCTCCTGGGCTCACTCTGCTCCAGGCAGAATCTGATCTCTATCCTAGACACGTGGTCTCAATTGCTACAGCTCTTCATACAAGAGAGAAAAGTTACCTCTTGCTCCGAAAACATTTGATACCCTTGCCAAAAAGAGAGAACGGCTTAGTTTTGAAGTGAAGTGGGTGCGTTCCCTTTTCTGCCTGGGGTGGCCTTCCTGTCAAGCATAGGACATTCCTGGTGGAGGACAGAACAATGTAGGTGACTTACGTCACTCTAGAAGAGAGGACCCTGAGGACAGGGTCTAACTTGCATTCATTTGGGGGCCCCAGCAGCACCCGATGCAGGTCCTAGAATCCAGGGGTGTATGGGAAACATTAGTGAAGGAGCACTAAGTGAATGAATGAAGGTGCCCTTCCATTGATGCAGTGTGTCTCCCTGTGGGGCAGGGGGATATAGAATAAAGAGCACAGGTTTTCGAGCCTAAGGGGCCTGGGTGTGATCCTGGGCCCGTGACTGAATACGGAACAACCACGAGAGCACACAGTCTGTAGCTGCACGTGCATTTCATGTAGCTGCATGAAAGAGGCCTGGCACTGAAGAGCACCCTGTGTGTGACTCCATTTACATAAAGTTCAACACCAGGCAGAACAACTGTACGCTGCAGGGGTGGGCAAACTTTTTGACTCGATGGCCACAATGGGTTCTTAAACTGGACCGGAGGGCCGGAACAAAAGCATGGATGGAGTGTTTGTGTGAACTTATAAATTCAAAGTAAACATCATTACATAAAAGGGTACGGTCTTTTTTTTTTTTTAGTTTTATTCATTTCAAACAGGCCGAATCCGGCCTGCGGGCCGTAGTTTGCCCAAGGCTGTGTTAGAGGCAAGGATAGAAGGTGCCTTGCCACAGGTGGTGGGTAAGGATTGAAGTGGTGCGAGGGGGAAATTTGGGGTCTGGTAATGTCCTCTCTCTTAATTGGCTGCTGATTATACAGCTGTGCCCGGTTAGTAAATATTCATTGAGCTGTAGAGTTTTCTGTGTGTTTTATACTCTGATAATATATTTTAATAGAACAAACTAGATAAAATAAATAGACAAGCCCTGACCGGTTTCCTCAGTGGATAGAGCGTTGGCCTCGGACTGAAGGGCCCCAGGTTCGATTCCAGTCAAGGGCATGTACCTTGGTTGCGGGCACATACCCAGTAGGGATTGTGCAGGACGGCTGATCGATGTTTCTCTCTCATCAATGTTTCTGACTCGCTATCCCTCTCCCTTCCTCTCTGTAAAAAAAATCAATAAAATACATATTTTTTAAAATAGACAAAAAAGCCTGTATTTGCCACGTTCACAAATGTTTAATTTAGAAACATGGGTACTCAAAGTGTGATGCATGGGGCCAGTGCCAGGACGCCAACTGTTTTGTTACTTTCACAGCAGATAAGTGCAGAACTTGAGTGTGAGCACCTAGAAACATCTCTAGTGCCTTGACATTGCTGTGACACCCAAGTTCATGGTCAAGGGACATGTCTTCTTGCACAGAGTGTAGACCAGTCTGGTTATCGCCAGACTCATGACAAGTCACATGTGATGTGGTCTTTGTATTATTATGAGTGCAATGGATTAGGAAACCCGGAACTGGGCCTTCCCCAAAGATATGTTGAGAAATGCTGATTTAATGCAAGTTGTTTCAAAACCGAGCTTCAGATTCTGCATCGCTAAAATGAGAATTAAGTATCCTGATGCCCCCAAGGTTGGGGAAGACAAGCAGTGTAATGCATGAGAAAATGCAAATGACGCCACCTGCAGTAGGGGCTGAGGACTGCATTTTTCACTATCTTTCCAAATAATCCTTCTTGCGATGCCTCTCTCTAGCACTGCTCTACAGATGCGCTGTCCAATGTGGTGGCCGCTAGCCACGCGGGACGACTACGCTTCTGAAATGTGTCAGTACAAATGGAGAGGTGCCATGGCAATCGACATATGAGATGTCAAGGTCTTCATGTGAATACATATAGACTGTATTCACATTATAAAATATGAGTATAAAATATCACAGTGACTTTCTGTAAATTGCAGGTTGAAATATTTTGCATATATTAGGTTTGACAAAATATAATATTTAATTTTTTTACTTTATTTCTATTTCAATGTGACCACTAGGGAACTAAACTTCATGTCTATGGCGTGGGTTGTGTTTCCGTTGGGTAGCAGTGGTGGAGAGCGCCCGTGGTGGCTTGTTTAGAGGCTGGGTGACCTATAAGGTGGACAGCAGCATCGGAACTCACTGACCAAGCCCGCTTGCCTTCTCCTTTCCTCCCCTGAGGTCCCTCCACCTGAGTGCCGGCCAGCTTCCCAAGCCAGGTGTTAATCGGTTTGCTTGCTCGCTTGTTGTGCAGATCAACTACAAGGCTGTTGGCTCCCTGGACCCGAGTGCCGACCTCTCCAGCCAGAGGGGGAAGGTGTTCAAGCTCCGGAACGAAACCCACCACCTCTTTGTGGGTCTGTACCCAGGGACCACCTACTCTTTCACCATCAAGGCCAGCACAGCCAAGGGCTTCGGGCCCCCCGTCACCACGAGGATCGCCACCAAAATCTCAGGTATCTCTCCCAGAAAGTGGTTGCTGCTTTGCTTTTCCCCATGCCTCATTTTCCTGGGAGTGAAGAAAGGCCAGAGCCAGCTGTCGCCCGCCGTGTAGTACTGGAGATCAAGGCGATGCTGCCCCTCCTATGTCACCTCTGTAGTCTCACAAAGAAACCCAATCCACACACTTCCTAACGTGTAAAAGTTACACTCATTAGACCAGAGGGCATACTGAGTGATTCACCAAAAATTAGACTACACAGTTGCATTAAGTAGTACTTTGTTTTTTTCATACACATTGGCTTGTAAAAATGTGATTTATTTTCAGGAATATTCCTGTTAGCACGCACAGCAGGGCACAGCAGAGGTCTTCATGAAATGTCTGATGAATGAATGAATGTTACAAAGCCACAGTGGTCCATCATTTCACCTGGCGTCTGCAGTAGGGCCCCCTCCATCATCAGTCAGCATCAGGCAGAATTACCTGGGAGCCTTTTTTACAATTTATATTGTTTCAGAATGTCTATGCAATTCTGGCCAGCATGCATACACATTTTGCATAACAGACCCATGGTGTTTTTGGTAGCTTAATGTTTTCACTTCTGTTTATACCATAAGCATTTTCCATGTTGCTACATTGCTTTCATTATAATGTTCTGTCAAGCGGACGGACGTAATTTAATTAAACATTCCCCTGTGGTTGGATATATTTAGGGCTTCCATGATTTTATAAAATAACGCTTCAATAAACATGCTACAGAATAAAGTTTAATTCATCGGTTTGGATTATAACTTTGGGATTAAATTCCAGAAATTGAAATACTGAATTAAAAGGGATGTGGGTTTTAATAGCTCTTAATGCAAATGGCTAAATTACCTTCCCCAGGGATCAGATTTAGTTTCACTCCTGAGGGGTTGGGGATGAGAGAGGGAGGGTCTCATGAGAAAAAAAAAAGAATCACTCATCACTATTGTAATTTACATTTTTAATGTGCTTAACAAGGTTGACTGCGCTCACATCCTTGTTGAGTACTTACATTTCCTGCATTTATCTGTTTATTCATGTGGGACTTTTTGATTCATGAGGGTTACTGGCCACATCACTGCCCCTCTTCCCCGGGCTCTGCAGCACCTTGAAGGAGCCCTCTGCCTGGTTGGAGGTCAGGACCTTCTCTGCTGAAATCCTGGGATGCCATGTGCCTCTCATCTAAGCTTCCCCACACACCCTCCTTCCAGTCATCCTGAGTGTCTTAGGGGTGGCCACAAGGGGAATGAATGAATGAATGAATGAATGAATGCTACAAATCCAAGGTGGTCTAGGATTTCACCCCAGTGAGTGGGGCTTGGGACCTGTGCTGAGCTCCACACTCTCTCTGTTCTCTGCCCAGCTCCATCGATGCCCGAGTATGACACCGACACCCCACTCAACGAAACGGACACGACCATCACGGTGATGCTGAAGCCTGCTCAGTCCCGGGGAGCCCCTGTCAGGTAGGAGGTGCCTTTGCCTAGAGTTCACAGCTTTCCTTCTCTGCACCAGGCACACTGAGTCGTGTCACCATCAATGCCCAGGCCGGACTGGCCAGGAGCCGGGCTTCCTGGAGGAGGGCCAGCAGCCCATGCCCAGTTCGGGGGGCCCCTGAGCCAGGAGCCTCTCTCTGCACAATGGGTGTTGGAACTGATTCTGAGGGAGCATGCCGAGGCGGACCTGAGGAGGCTGGGAGAGAACCTTCTAGAACACATGGACAGTAAATTTATTTAGTGGGTCGGGAGCCTAGAGACTGAGCCTCCTGCCCAGATTATCTTTCCATGTCTGACTGGCATTAGCAGACACATGGGCAGACTTGCTGAACTCTGAAACCTGCCTGCTCAGAGACATGAATGGGGCCAGACCTCTGGGCTGGGCCAGTGTAGGGCCTTAACGTCCAAGGTCCCCGATTGGGGCTTGAAGTCCCACCCTACTGCTGATTTTCGCAAGAGGCTGCTGGGGGTCAGGAGCATGCTGATGGCCCAGGCGATGAAAGCCTCTCCATGGCTGAGCTGCCCCAGTGCCAGGTCCTGGCGCGTGGCTACCAGGAAGGTGGGCATCTCTTTTAAACCAGCTACACTTTGCACAGGGGCAGCAGCTCCGAGCTTGACTGATAGCTTTGCTCAGCCATCAAAGGACAGCAGTCCCTTGAAATCAAGTTGAGTATTGGGTGAAACAGCTTTCAAATGGGCTCAGTCCAGTTCAACAAGCACGCACTGAATACCTTAGAGGCCCGGAATGGGGAGGGCCACAGGGGATAAAAACGATCCATTTACTTAGCCATTCAACAAGTATCTATGGGGCACTCCCTCTGTGCCAGGGGCTGTCTAACTGCTTAGCAGACAGCAGTGAACTAGCCATGGTCGAAAGAAAGCCAGACTCTCGCTGGGGAGACGGACACATGAAAAGATAATTACAACACAGTGCATGCATATGGAGATGTGCCTGGGTCGTGATGAGGACTCGGAGGGGAGAGTTCCTAGAGGAGGTGACACTGAGCTAGATCTTAAATGTTGTATGAGATTTTGCCAAAGCAGTAAGAGGATCCAGCGTGAGCGAAGGCATGGGGGACAAACGCAGCCTGCTGTCCTGGGAGCAGTCAGGAGTGGTTCCGTCTGCTTCGGCATAAAGATGAAGGCAGCCGTGGTGGGTGGCGGTGGGGCCATGTTTAAGATGCTCGGGGTTCTCTGAGGAGCCCTGGGGAGCCACATGCAGTGTGACTTTTATGAAACTGGAGATGAGGAGACCAGCCAGAAAGGAAGCTATTGGGATGGTCTCGTTATCTGTTTTCCCACCTGGATCCAACTCCACCCAGAAATTACAGGCAGTGCAGCAGATCCCATCAGTTGCCTGCAATTAGGAAGTTCCCCTCATTTCCGTAGGCTTTGAACAATGTTCTGTTCTAAGTCAGGTGAATCTTCAGACCTTGCAACAGGCGTGTGTAGTGTTTGTGGGACACCTGAGCTGAGAACTTTTGCTTTGTCTCCTGTACATGGGTCGTTGCAGGACTGTCCTGGCTGTGGTGAGCCCAGGCAGCTGGTGGCTCTTACACCAAATAAATAGTTACTGAGTTACTTGCTTTTATTCCTGTTACTTTCATACAACATTGTCATTCAGTTCTGTCTATACACTGAGATATTACTGTCCTCCTTTTCAGATATTATTATTCTCATCCTCAGGCTCAGAAATTCCCACAAGCGCACAGACAATAAGTAGGGACACTGAGACCGAACCCAGGTCCTCCAGGTGCTAAAGCACATGTTGCACTTCGGCCACCTTTGCCTGCCTCCCTTTCACAGCTTGTGCCTCTTTCACGAAGCAGCACTGGTCATGTTTCAACATCTTTGAAAGCTTTCCGGATGGCAGAATAGGCCCAGAAAAGAGAAACAGTGTATCCCATGCGCAGCTGACCCCACACCCAGGACTTTTACACAGTAGACCCAGGCATCCCCTTTCACTCTGCAAGCCTTCAAAACTACCTACAGAGGGACCAGGCCACCTGGCTTCCGTGGTGGCTTCTTGGGTATATGGATTCCGTCCACTCCCCACAGCCTTCTCTATGGGGCAATGGGAAGGATGGGAGCTTAGTGACAGGGAACCTGGGTTCAGAACACTGCCGTGCAACCTTGGATCAGATACTTCATCTCTCTGAGCCTGAGGTTTGCTTATCTGGAAAGCATGGAGGAAATGATTCCATAGAGGCTAAATTATAGAAGCCACAGCAAGGCAGGCTGTCGGAGTTAGTCTCTTCGTTGGCTTTTCTGCTTCTCTTTGGAACTTAGGAAGGTCTGCTCAAAGTGGATTTTGAAACGTCTGTCCTGCCACCAGGTCACAGTGTTGCCTGCTTCTTTCCTATTCAAATTTTCAACACTTTTCGAGACCCTGATTCTATGGTGGGGATGGAAGGCCTTTGCTTTTTTCCTTAAGATCCCCTACCTTCTTTCCAGCACAAAGTTTCCAAAAATCTTTTTTTTAAATTGTACTGAGAAATAAGCAATATGGGTCCAGCAGCATAAAGTTAAATTTTGTACAGAGGACTAGAGTCCCATCCTCAGGATAAATCAGATTATATGTCCATGAAACTCTGAAAACTCATCAAAGTCATTAGCACCATGTTTTATTGGGCAACTACTGTGTTCCCAGAATTTAGCCTTGACTAACCTAAGAGTAGGATCTTTCCATTAGAAATGAGGAAGCTGAAGTTCAGTCACAGAGCCCACAAGTGATGATGCTGGGACTAGGATCCAGGCCTGCCTGCCTCCAGAGACCAGCAAAGGGGACCTCTGAGCAGCCCAAACAGGCGTTCCTGGGAAAGCTCTTCCAGTTCCCACAGAGAGAAGCCCCTTGCACTTTCCTCTGAGCCTGCATGCTCTTAGCTTGCCCATCTGTTTGGTAATCTCATGCATCCTAAGACCACAGTAAATTAAGAGGTGGGAATGGAAGTGCCTGGGAGCAGTGAAAAATGACAGTTGGAAGGGAGAAAAAAAACCAGGAGAACTCTATAAAACTGACACAGGGACTCAAGAAATTAGGAGGTCTGCATGCTGCAGCTCCTCATGACCACCGTTGGTCATCCAATATTCCTGGCTTACCCCCCAAAATGTAGCATGTTGCTCCATGTCTTCAAGTGCAAAGGACCTGCTAGCTTTCATCTAATGAGCAAGGGCTTGCTGCATGCCTGTCACCATAGATAAACTGTATCCTCACAACATGGCAAGAGCATTCTCTCCGTTTTGCAGTCATGGGAACAGAGATAAACAGACCCCAGGGAGTCGATGCAGACCACTAAATAAGCAAGGGGTGTGGGCAGCATTTAAACTGACCTTAAGCCAACCCTCATCCCACTAGACCCACCTCCCTAGGAGGAAGCTGGGCATGACATACTTTGGTGACATTGCCATGGGAAAAAATGAAAATAAATGTCACTGCTCAAAGGGGCAATGCTTCGCGTGTGGAAAGGTCTGGCTGCGTTTCTTCCCAAGGCTCTGGTTCATTGAGGATGGGTACACTCCTTTTCGGAATTATTTTCAGACTGGTGCTTGGGCATTTGACAAAAAGGGCAAGAGACTAACCCGTGCCACCCAGCAAGTCTTTCAGGGCAGCTCGCAATGACAGCAGTGGCTCCATCACAATAGATTTCCGTTACCTTAGCTCTCTTCACCTTGAGGTCAGGGCACTAGGATGCCCAGCTGGGAGGCAGTTGACCATTAGGTCATTCAACAAATTGAGCATTTGCTGTGTCCCAGGAGCGGGAGGTAAGTGGGTTATAGCAGGAAACAGGATAGGCACATACCTGTCCTCCTGAGGCTTAGCATCCAGGAGGTGTTCCTGGGAATCGGGCAGGGAGCTGGGGCATTAGCAGGGAAACAAACCAGATAATGAAACTGGACCAGCAAGACAAGGCCAGTAAGGACAGTGACTGTGTTGGCTGAGAGGAGAGGACTGGCTGGCGAGATGAGCTCAGGAGGCCCACGTGGAGTCCCGCAGGTCAAGGAAGAGGAGAATTGAGAAAACAACAAAGGCCATGACTGCAGTATGGAGTCAAGGATGCCCGGGATCCTATTCATAGCTGATAGTTCCTTTAATTTCATTGTATCATCCGATTGCCATTTACCCAGTAGATCCGCTGGGTGGAAACACCATCTCCATTTCTGAAGATGAAGCTGTAGTCAAGGTGTGAAGTGATTGGCCCCAGGTCACCAAGCTTGTTACCTGTACAGCAGGACAGGGACCTCACTTCCTGCCTTTGCGTTCATTGCTCCCCTAGCAGGTTCTGAGTTTCCCATGCCTGGGACGTCAAGCAATGACTGATTAACCACTCAGTGGGGATGCTGGCGAGGGAACTGCCATCAACTCGGAAGTGAGGGGGAGGCAAAAGGAGGTCTCAGGGGCCCTTCTCTCTGGGATGTGTGGGCGAGCCTGTAACTTGAACCTCAGCATGTCTCTCTCTGAGTGGGGTCTGCCTGTCCTCTTAACAGCATCATAGCTGAGCCCAAGCCCCCAGGCCTTGCCAGCAGGGCTCTGTCCATGCTCAGCCCCTTGCTGCCCCTTGGGAGCCCCTTGGGTCTGACTTTCTGGTGGAATTGATCGGGCCCGGAGGCGAGGAGGGGAGGTGGGGAGGAAAAACTGCCCTGTGGGGCTCCCTCACCCTCATCTCTCCAGCCAAACCATGTCGGCAGCTTGGCCTATATTTCTAATGCTCCACAATAGAGATTTATTGCTTTTGCATTGCTTTCCCCAGGCCTTCAAAGATTTATTGGTTTTTAAGTGACAGAATCCCAGAATTGCTTAAAAGATCAATCAAACAGTGACTAGAATCTAATATTCAGCTCTGACTTGAACACGCCGGGCCTTCTTCCTCCACGCCCCACCTGTCATGCTGATGTATCTGTAGTAACCTTCCTCAGAAAGTAACTTGGCCATGAATTAATCACCCCTAATGCAGTCCCTGAAGTAGGGCCGG